TTTTCCGGAAAAGACTACTGGGCTGTCTACACTGGCCCTTTTCCGGAACAGTGTTTCAGAATAAGGACTTATGCCCGAGCGGGAGCAGAATAGTTTTTCCGGAATAGCGGCTGATTTTGTACAGTAGAGCATCGTTGCTTTTCCGGAAGTTCAAGGGCCAGTGTAGACAGCTCACAGCTTATTCCGGAAAAGTGGCTGATTTTCCGGAATTAGTGGCCCAGTGTAGACACAGCCTCCGAGGGTTGCAGAACAGCTTGTTCACATGTCTGTAGATGGCGTGTCAGGCTGGAGCACTCATTGCCACAATGCTGTCACACAGGAACCCTTTGATCCTTCTCACACGATTCCCATAGAGGCCTGCCTTATTCCAGCCTCTGTGGTAGGACACCTTCCTACACTAAGCCACCAGGAAGCAGTCTGGGGTCATGGAACCACATAGCAGTGTAGCACGCTGCCCTGATTCATGCCCGCACACAGTCAGCATTCGCTCCAAATCAAGCACAGTGATGCAGGGAAGACTGATGATATGCATAGGAACCTGCTGGAAGGAAGAAGAGGAGGGGAACCCATTAGCACTTTCTGCCACTCATACACACTTCCCCTCTCCTTCCAGCAGGCATTGATAGAAATTCTCACCGCAGGATGCCACGAGTGCCAGACCCAGCATGTGCAGGACACAGTAGGAAGCTGAGCCGCCCCCCGGCATGGTCCTGGCCTGGTGGGCACCTTACCATGCCTACTTATCTCCAGTCTCTGTGTTTGTGATGCTCCCCTGGGATGTCTGTGCACCTGCTGGAAAGTGCCTGCTTTAGAAGCAAATTATGGCCTTGCTCAAAACACAGTGCTGTTGTCTGAACTGAGACCTTCAGTGTTGGCTCAGTGATTAGGGCTAGGCTTCATACAAAGCGTTTCCTGTGAAGACTGCCCTTGTAAATTCACAGCAGGACAGCGGTGAGCTGGGCATGTCCCTAACTTCCTGCTGCATCTATCCACCTGACCAGGATCTGCAGATGAATAAGAACATGGGACATGCTCATGAGGGAGCAGCTGGTCTGCCTGCAGTCCCTCATGCAGGAAGTCAAGGCAGAGTACCTGGAGCAGGTTACTGAGAGGAGCGGCAGGCTGACCAGGAGACAGAGGCCACATGGGAGCAGCTGGTACACCAGCGTAACATATTCTCTACCCTCACAGCAGTGCTGGAGCATGTAGCAGCATGCATGGATTGGGCCACCAGCCACATCCCACCTGCTCGATGGCCACCCCTGCAAGGGTCTCCAGGGATTGCTGGGACCCCAAAACACAAGGCATGGGGCCCTCTAGGCCACCTGGAGGCAAACACCAGTCCCAGCCCTGGCCCCCATTACAGGTTCTTTCTCCATTCCCTTCCCTGTTGTATGTCCACTGAATAAAGACTCCTGTTTGTTAATCAATGATCTCTTTATTGTTTGCTCTGCCAAGGAGGGCAGGAAAACAGAGAGACGGGGATCTCTCTCTCTCTCTCTCTCTCTCTCACACACGCACACGCACACAGAATGCAGGGTGGAGAGTCTCACAACTGGTCTTGCATAAAACTGTCTTTCAAGGCGTCTCTGATGAACAATGCCCCTTGCTGTGCTCTCCTTGTGGCACTGGTGTCTGGTTGCTCAAACTCCCGAGCTAGGCGTTCTGCCTCAGCCCCCCATGCTGGAAGAAAAGTCTCCCCCTTGTTTTCACACAGGTTATGGAGCACACAACATGCCGCCACCACGAAGGGCATGTTGAGCTCGCTGATGTCCAGGCGGGTGAGGAGACTCCTGAACCTCCCCTTTAAACGCCCAAATGCACATTTCACCACCATTCTACACCTTCTCAGCCTGTTATTGAACTCCTCCTTGCTGGCATCCAGGCGGCCTGTGTAGGGCTTCATGAGCCAGGGGAGCAAAGGGTAGGCTGCATCTCCCAGGATCATAATGGGCATTTCCAACTCTCCGACCTTGATTGCCCTATGGGGGAAAAAAGTGCCAGCACGCATCTTACTGAAGAGGGATGAGCTCTGCAAGATGCGTGTGTTATGCGCCTTTCCCGACCATCCAACGTTGATGTCAGTGAAGCGTCCCTTGTGATCCACAAGTGCCTGCAGCACCATGGAACAGTACCCTTTTTGGTTGATGTAGTTTGAGGCATGGTCGTCAGAAGCCACAATGGGGATGTGTGTTCCGTCTATGACCCCCCCACAATTGGGGAAGCCCATGTCGGCAAAACCATCCAAGATGTTGTCTATGTTGCCCAGAGTTACAAACCTCTGTAGCAGGATGTGGTTGATGGCCTTGGCTACTTGTAGGAGCACAGCCCTGACTCTGGATTTCCCCACCCCGAATTGATTCCCGACTGAGCGGTAGCTGTCTGATGTATAGGAGCACAGCCCTGACTCTGGATTTCCCCACCCCGAATTGATTCCCGACTGAGCGGTAGCTGTCTGATGTAGCTAGCTTCCAGAGGGCAATGGCCACGCGTTTCTGCACGGGGATGGCAGGTCTCACTCGGGTATTCAGGTGCCTGAGGGCAGGGTCAAGCCACTCGCAGAGTTCGAGGAAGGTAGCCTTGCGCATGCGGAAGTTTTGCAGCCACTGCTGATCATCCCATCCCTGCATGACAATGTGATCCCACCAGTCTGTGCTTGACTCCCTCCGCCAGAAGCGATGTTCCATTGTGTCGAGGGGAGTCAGAGGCATGTACAGAAGCAGGAGTGCCAACACTTCGCTAACCATGGCTTCTGGGCCATGCTGGACCTCCTCCTCTTCCTGCTGGAGCAACGTGCGGGCATTGTCGAAGTACTGCTCCATGAGGCGCAGCATTGAAGCCATGAGCGTGGCACTGCTTTGCAGCTGCTCTGGCTCCATGGTTGCAGGGCTGTGGTGCCAGTGTGGGAACCCAGGGCACAACAAGACAGGTGCCCACCGTGTCCCTTTCCTGTCGCACAACGGGAGTAATGGAGGAGCACTTGTGGGATGCAAGAATGGAGAGGAGCCTTTGAAAGCCCAAGTCGACACCAGACGGATCCGCTCCCCAGAGTTCCGCCTGGGGCGCCGAGGCCGAGGCCGGCTCTGAACGTGGACACGTCACCTCCGGGAAACTTCGATTCGCGCCTGATGCGGGGACACGGCTCCACAGCAGGTGCCCAGCGCGAGAGGTCAGTGAATTCGAATGGATCCCGCAGGGACCAGCGGCGCACGGGGGGGGGG